AAATATTATTTGATTTTTTTTTTTTATCTCTACTCTAAAATACCAACCTTATTCTACTAAGTTTATTGGAAAAGGGAGACCATCTTTACTTCGCTGTAACAAAGAAAACTCGAACGACTAATAGCATGTCAGCAATGATACGACTGCGGTTACACCATGCCCATTCGCATTCTCAAAAGTCCGTTCCCAAAAACCGAACCTCATCGGCATCCGATACCTTCACGAGAGAAAAATAAAGGTAAGAAAATTTCTATCACGGCCCCCCGCCGGCTCTTTAATTTAATTAGATTAGACCGAGATAAGTTTTGATAAAGACATACCACGATATAAGACCGTCTGTCCGTTCGTCTGTCGGTGTTATTAACTGCGCTATTAATCAAATCCGAAGACACAAGACATGCCGGACGTGACCGAAAACGCATGCTGGCCAAGTAGAACGGAAGGGTAAAGGCGGCCTGACACCTCGGAGATTCAATTGACATGGATTTTCACAAATGCGCCCCGATTTGTCCTCGTTAAGTCCTTCGGGGAATGGTAAGGCATGGACCAGCAATTGATACATTTGTGCCCGATATTGACAATTAGCACTGTCAAATAGTGATATACTGAAATATATACAAAATTTACCACATTGTCATATACAATTACAAATACAAGTTCTGTCTTGTTGAATAAATCTACTTCTATTGCAGTCTCAACAATTTCATCAATCCCGGCCACTGCCATTTGCGATCACCCTATTGATCCCAAACAGGTTTGCCCTTATATTTGGACATTACTTAATAAGTTGCTCATATCATTGAAAAAGGCATGTCTCAATTGCATAATCAAAAGGTTTGGTTAGTTTTGGTTAGACACTGATGTCTCTCATACCACTAATTGAAAAAAACGTTCTCCATTATCCATTTATTGGCAAAACGTCAAATTAACAACAGAACCAATTCTTTCAATTTTATACAAATTTAAAAAAAAATGTCAGATTTAACAAGATTTGACGTAACTGAGACTCCAAACAAATAATTACAAAAATTTCTAAAAATTTCTGTCAATACTTTTTTATAGCTCAAGTAGGTGGAGTGTTAGAATTTTTATAACCTCGGGATTTTAAATTTCAGTAAAGATAAAATATAAATAATAACGGCTATTTTGTTTTGTTGGGAACTATGAAACAGATTATCCCACCGAAACCACTGACAGGTAAAATCATTCCTACTCCTTTTCAAACTAATCAAAATCGGAAATAACCAATTAATAATTAATTAATATAATAAGAAATTGATAGTTTCGTACTTAATTCCTTTCATTTTGTTGAACAATTAAAAATCACTACATTAGATCCAAACGATGTTTTGGTTAGTTAACTAAAGTCTATATTCTCAGAGAATCTGAAACCAAACCTTCTCATCTCTCATTACTTTATGAACAAACGTCGGGAACAGCTGTGGGTTGTCACACTATATTGATGATACTTCTGTTATTTGGCCTCATGGTCAAGAATCCTTCCGGGATTTTCTTAGGCATTTATGCCTCTATGTACCCCAACATACGTTTTTTCATTGAATTAGAAACTAATAATTGGACCTAACATTGGGTCATTATGTTTACAGAAAACCTAGACACACAGACAAATACCTTAATGCATTCTCACAGCATCGATTATCAATTCTCTTATTTACGGAGCAGTAAAACTATCTCAACCCGAGTCACTGAACACAGAATTAAAACACTTTGCATTTACTATTCTCTGTAATAATTTCCGCATTGGAAATATTAAACGTTCCATTACAAAATACACTTCACCGAAGGCTTCCAAAGACAATGAGTTCGAAAACAATCCCACACTTGCCACTGTTGTCCTTCCTTATATTCAAAACATCACTGACCACATATCAAAAATTCTTAAGAAATGTAACGTCAAAACTAGATTTACCATTTGCCCGTTTGAGATACCAAGAGTTTACAGAATTCCATACGTATGCGGCAAGGAATACCTTGGAGAGAACGGAGAAAAAAATCCAAAAGATTTGAAAATAATATTACAGTAATCTGTGGAAGTTAATTTGAAAAATTAAAGTGTACTATTCGGGTACCTAGTTTTGATAGATATAGTGCTTATTTGCTTATTTTATAATTATTCTGTGTAAAAGCAAATATTAATTAATTCTCAGTTCATAGAAAATGTATTAAGAAGAATTGTTTAGATTTGCTCTAGTAACATTTCATTTTTCGCTTAAAATACCTCCCCCATAGATGCCAGAGTTATAAGGCCCCACCTAAATTCCGATAATAGAGGAAATTATGGAGTAACTATAACAAAAAATTTGAGGTTGATTCAACATGGCCTTGCGCGAGATGTAAAGTCTCTTTTTTGACAACCGACATGGCCGCTGTCAATAAGTTTGTATTGTCTCAAAATATTCCTAGATCTCGTTAAATGTTCTGGGAAAACGAGTCAATTGTTGGGAAAGAAAATGGCGCAAACTACAGGGCAGTCAATGAAGCCTGCTTGTATCAATTTTTACCGTAATAGTGCCACTGCATTATCCAATAGCCATATAGCCTCCTTGTTGACAATTTCAGAAACTGTAAAATAATTTTCAATACTTTTTCTTCGTTGATTTACTGATTTTGTTTCAAAATTTCTAGGACCGTCGGTTTCTCTAATGCGGTACCTTGTGGCATGTATTCGAACGCACGGTATAAAAAACTCTTCTTAATTCTTAAGAAAAAAACTCAATTTTTAAAAATTTAAATTATTTTCGATCTTAAAGTTTAACAAGAGGAATGCAATGAAACTAACGTGACATATACCGACTATTGGCAAATCTTCTGAATTCTTTATGCGTCTGTTGTTGATGAACCTGTTGACTTCTTCAGATGATGACGTAACGTCCGCAAGTTCGATTCATGAATAACCGACACAGGAGAAATCCAGGAGATTTGAAAACAGTATTATAGTAACCTATGTAAGTTTCTGTGAAAATATATCATTTAAGAAACACTGGTAAAAGTTGTTGTCACATGTGAAAAATAGATTCAAATCTGATTGAAAAATATCCGAAATTTAGAACGAAAAATGTGTATAACTGATAGGTCAATCGAACTAATAGGAAAAATTTTGCAAAATGGCTGTTTTTATTTGGAATGCAGTTGCTAGAGTCGTTGTACATTTGTTCTACTAATAATAAATATCTGCCGGTAGTGCTTACAAACTTACAAAATACTTCGGAACATATTAATTAATTCAGCATATCATACGGTATTTAGCACGAATATGAAAAATATGCTATCAATGAAATTTCTCTAACAATAAATAATCAATTTTTATGATTATTTTAATTGTCCAATAGGGGATCTTATAAATTTGCTAGGTAGGGGTATTTGAGACTTTTATGCACAATTCCATCAGCATTAAATTACAAATCACTTGCAAACTTTTACAAATAGTCTTCCTATTTATAATTTCTGTGCTTATATGCAACTGCAAATATATTTAGCAGTCATCGGAGAATTGACGAGTATTTATTTATAACACCACCCGAGTTCCGGGGACGAAACAAAAATTGGGTCTGGAGGTCGACTGAACTTTTGGGAATAAAAAAATGACGTAGAACAATGCTTATCAATATTCTTAAAAAGTTAGAAATTGCATTAATTTCTCACTTAGTTATTAATTTAAAAAATAAAAGTTCTACATTGCTGTAAGCGGCCATAGTTTTGCTCCAAAACTGCAGCCATTTTTCAGTTTAGTACATAACATATATGGCGTTACCCAAATAATGCGTTCAACCTAAAAAATTCAGGGAACTGTAACGAATGAATAGCAACTCGACAGTCGGGCTCTACCCTCCGACTACATTTTCTATTGTCGCGAGAATTTCTGAATTTTAGAAAAGATCCGAAAGCCACTCTGTCATTGGCCTGTCGAAAAGTTGAATAAGCACAATCAGTAAAATGGAAATGTCGACTACGCGGGTGCATGTTCAACGCTGTATTTTCCATATTTGACATCTGTCTAGGGAGGAAAGAATATTTTGTTATGGGTGATGTCTTACTTAAATATTCGTTTAGTTTTCCTATATTTCCCAGTATTTTCTCAAAAGATCCCTAGATCTCGTAAAATATTTAGGGAAAACGAGTTAAATTTGCGTTCATCGCTCTTTAGAAATAAAATGGCACCAATTTCAGCTTAGTGAGCAAAATGTAGCATAAAATCATTCTCCTTTACAAAAATATCAATGCCGCCGGCGGCACATCAATTTTAACGTAGTAGAGCCACTATATTATGTAAGAAAATTTGGCAAAGTGCAAATTCCGATAGAATGTATGTAATTTAAATGTGACAATATTTTTTTTTCTACTCCCTTCTGTAGAATACCTAATTATACAATGCAATACGTTTGGTAAACTTTTTGAGTCGCGAGTTTATTTGGCACGAGCGAACCGAGTGTTTATAATAAACGTTTATAGCACTTGTTCTAGTTTCGGTTTTTCTAAATTTCGATTTCCACAAGTGAGTTATAATAAAATGCCTATTACAGTCCTAAGCTGAACCAACAATTTTAGCCCACTACACTGTATCTTGCATGAAATTTAAAATTTTTACTGTGAAATCTATCCCTATTCTAACTTATTTGTTAGGATTTATGATCTTTGTTACGAGGAATATTTATTTGTAGCTTAGTTTTTATGCCTTGTTAGATGGGTAATTTATGAAGTTTTCGTGAATTGTCATCTAAAGTCGAACCGAAGAAAAAAGAAGCGATTTTTTGCTCAACTCGAATCGCCTTTTTCAATCGATGTCGTTCTCGCCAATATTTTTAACGCTTTTCAAACTAGGGCTTCATGAAAGCTAGGAGATACTGAAGCCTAATATTAAACAAACGCGCGCCATCTGTCGCGTAGGTGCTGCATTAGCCGCAGTTTTCTGCCCTCCCCAAACGCAAGCATGCATTTCCCCTCTTCAACAAAACCAAATAGAAAGTGTGTGTTATTCCATCTATTATTGATTCACAATGTTGATGTTATGATTCCCAAACTAGCTAATAATACACCGTTGTTGGTGTGCATAAAGTAAATAAATAAAGTGCAATGACATTATTATTTGCAGCTGGTGGTGATCAACTATATGAATAAATATACACTTTGCTGAGAGGAACTGAAGAAAATGTAGCTTCTAAAAGTTTTGTGCGGAAAAATCGTAACCTTTAGCTAAATTACTGCATTCATTGTCTCTCTCCTTTTATTGCGCCGAAAAATAGTGCAGCAAAACATGCTCCAGACTAGTGATAACTATGATAATGAGTGAGATGATAGTTAAATACTGTTTGATTCAATCGAATTTAGAAAATTTATCAAATAAATTAAAATAATTCGAATAGAATTGATAGTGACTATTTGCCAGAGGATTACATAAAAATGGATTCCAAATAAAATTATAGTTTAACATGGGTGACTCAGTACGATGCCTCAAAAAAACGGTAAAAGAAAATTCTGATTCAGCAACTGATGATAAATCATCTGATGCTTCAGTAGACACTTTAGCAAACGATTTTGAAGACGAAGTGCACATAGGAGAAGAAGACTCAGTTTCTTTGGAAGACTTTAATAAGAAAATGGCAACTGCTAAGAAGTCAAAATTATATTCTTTTGAAAACGAGAATCAGGAGAACGAAAACCCAAAATCATCTAGAGAGTCTTCAAGTGGATCTAATTTGAGGAATTTCTATGATTCTGAAAAATATCCTGATGCATCAAGGCTTTTGAGATCAAAAGTAAGTGAAGAAGATGATGACAACTTCCACTTGAAACACACAGATGAGGAAAACAGGATGATAATAAAAACAATAATGGTAGGTAGTGACTATCAGGCTCAAATTCCAGATGGTCTCCGTCATTATGATGATGCTCTGCCCTATGAAAATGAGGACAAACTTTTGTGGGACCCGTCGCCAATGACAAATGCAGCAATTGAAGATTACTTAAAGAAAGTGGCAAGCTTAGAAAAGCCTTCCATTCCTAGTGGAAAGCATCTTCGGGATAATGAACCAGCCCTACATCTGCTTCAGCAATGTGGTCACAATATCGACGAGGCTCTAAGACGGTTAAAAATGAATAAATATTTGTACGAAGACACTATGCAACCTTGGTCTGAAGAGGAGTGTCGAAACTTTGAAGCCGGTATTCGGTTATTTGGGAAGAACTTTTACTTAACACAGCAAAATAAGGTGAGAACTAGGTCAGTTGGGGAGTTAGTTCAGTTTTACTACATTTGGAAAAAGACCGAAAGACATGATGTGTTCGCAAATAAAGTGAGGTTGGAGAAAAAAAAGTATATTTTGCACCCTGGGGTGACAGACTTTATGGACCGATTTTTAGAGGAACACGATGTTAGAGATAGAAGTTCATCACCTAATGTTATAAATGATGAAACTGCAGTTTTAAAATATAAGATATCCAAATAACGGATTATTTTTCCTTTTCCTTTCCTGAGTAATTTTATGACATTTTTTGCCATTGCTTTTCTAAAATAAATTCAAGTGTTTAAGTAGGGCAATCAGAATACAACCACCCATTTTTATATTCAATTTGCTTATAATTCATATTTTAAACACTATTTTTTATCAATGTTTAAAAACCACAAAGATAAGGGAAAACATTGTGGTAGATACATTTAAAATTAGGAAGCCTCTTTTATTATTCATTAAAATAATTTTCGTACCTGGATTACTTGAAATCACAGTTTGAGTTTTTACATTTGTCAGAATAAATTGAAACCAAGTAAGAGGTTGCTATTCTACCTGTTACTGGCACAACCGAAACATTTATGTGGTATTTCACCAAAGACTTTTAAGACTAATTATTATATCACAATTGCTTTTCATTTATTTCTTATACCACAACCAACGACGTTGCAAGCATTGAAAATAACTTGGAAATCAGTCAAGATTTTAAGTGTTTAGCGCCATCTTTTAGTGACTAAGATTATTAGAAGAATATAACATTCTTCTTGGCAACAGAAATCGTTCTAGCTTTCTAAACCGCTAGGTTAAGTTCTTAGGTATAGAGGTCGCCACAGTAACACAATTTTAAGGTGGGGGTGTATAGAATAGAATAGGGAAAGGTAAAAAAAATCCTAGAGAAATGTTATTGGAAACCTCTATTTATTTCCGGTAAGTTTCAATTTCATATTTTTGTAAGCGGCTTTAAATGGCGATAACGAATTGTATCTGAAACTCTATTTAAATTGGGAACCGGCATTGGAATAGAAATGATTTAATCAGAAAGAAAGTTTTTAAACTCTCCTAAGATAATTTTCTAACTGTTCACATATAAGGTTTAAATTTGGCTAATGTGTTTTAATTTGGGTTAAATTAGTTAATTGTTGTAAACATATGTTTTAAACAATATTTACAGCGGATGCTGATAACATTAAAAACTAAAATGGAAAAAACTGCCTAAAATATTTCTTTGCCAAAAATGGAAGTTTGATTAGTTTGAATAGAAATGTTTTTTAAAAAAATGTATGGTTTACGAAACATTGGGAGCAATTAGAACAGCGCTCTATTGTAAAAATTGTCTGTAGTGTGCAAGGCGGCTATTAAGATTTCTTTTTACTCAGTCATGGGGTGCTTAAAAATAGTTTAGGCAAGATGATTTAACTTTTTTGATACCTGATTAATTAATTAATGTTCTTTTCAAACAAATGTAAAAAATGTTATTTTATTGTTACTCTATTATGTCATCAGAATGACATTTTACAAACCACACTAGTTTTATAGAAATATCTCAATTGTGGAATGAAGTAGTTAACCATTAATTGCAATTTTTAATTTATGAAATTAAAACTTAACGATATAGTTATGCTAATAGTATTTTTACACACTGCTTATTAGCGAATAAAAAAGAAACATGATATTGGAAAATCTTTATTTCTTTGTTAGCCGTTTTATCATTTGAATTTTTTTATTTGAATGCTTGAGGTTTTTCGGGTTCTGACAAGACCCATATATTAGAAAGAGATATATTGCAATATCAAAAAACCAAACCGAGACTCAAAACGCGTAAAGCATTCACCATCACCGATGGTGTGAAAAAGGTCCCTGTGGGATAAAAGGAGAGAATTCTGTTTTTTTATTGAATATTATATAAAAAATACATCTATTATCAAGTAGTTAATATTCCACATTTTGTTCTTCTTTAATGACAGGCTGAGCCTTTTTTCGCCAGTTCTCTTTTGTCACTTCTTCAATATCATTATTAAACTCTTGCTGAATATCGTGGTGTATCTTCCTACAAATCCTTTTTCATTTACACCTATATAAGTTCTATAAGATTTAATTCGCAATGATATGAAGGTGTGTTGCCGTATATATTAGTTTCTTCTTTATCAAATTATCTTTAAAATCAATAATGAAGATGGAGTCTTATTGTATTATTCATAACTACTATACCTTGAAGATATTTTATCATTTTACTAAAATAGCCTTCAAAAACATCAGAATTCATGTCCTCGTGGTAATTTACCTTATAGCACGACTGAAAAGGTGCCTTTACCCCGTCACAAAGACCATCTTCACGTTGAAACCTTCCAAGTGGACAGAAAGACAGTAGATTGTGAATGGAGCTGATATTATACGACCAAAAATATAGTGCATTTATTGCTTTGACATATTTAATATTTTACAGTGCCTTAACCGCAGACCTTCGTATTAAGTAGGTCTTGCCCGTGATGGACCGTAACGAATATTTGTAGAAACTTGAAATTTTTATTTGAAGGTTAAATGGACCGTTTGAAATTTGATTAAGCATTGATGCTGCGGGGTATTTTTGAATAATTAACGCTTCTAATTTTAACATCAGGTGATATGTATCATTCTTAAGAGTTTAATCTAAATTACAATATGTTCGTATATATTACGGAGGTATTTGAATGTGGTCCTTCTCGTAAGTACGTATTTATGTACCCGATTCTCGAACTTTGACCCTGCGAGGCGGTTTTTAGTGGAGAGTTCAACGGGTAAGGGTAAGTACCTGCACTCTATTTATCTTACAGGTAAATTTGAAAATAATTATTTTTGTCTTGTGTGTCTGTCGATTAACAACATCCTTCTTCTTGTATTTTCGTGTCTTCTACATTTGTCTTCGATTTGTAAACAACAGTCTTTTTTAAGACTATAGATTATATTCGCGGCAGATAAAGGTACGTCATCAGAATACAGATAACTATTTATTAGAATCTTACAGTTAAACATTTTTTAATGGTTCCTGTTTTTTAACACTTTAAAATGTGGAGACCGTGGAATGAAGCAGATGTTCCCCTGTGAGAAGAAGACATGGAAAACGACGCAGAATTTGAAGACGAAGCGGAGATGGTACTCGAACCTAATCACAATTTAAAAGACGAACTACCTCAGCAAATAAAAAAACGAATCCATTTGTCTTCGGATGTTAAACAAATTCTTTTAAATGTTTACAATTTTATAAGAAATTTAGAACGTAATAAATTGTTACTTTGCACTAATTTTTTTATGTACATGTTTCAAGGATTACGTGGCAAAAAAGATTGAAAAAATAATTACATTCCGTTTGTTAGTGTGGGTAGATTAATTCATGGGTTCGAATGGTTACGGGTAAGGGTCTGCTCGGCAAGGTGTTCTATAAGGGACGGCGGTTTTGGAGTAATAAACAGGCAAAGTTAATGACGAGGTCAGTTATTAAAGGACTATAATTCTGGTTGAAGTATAACATGCTAGAAAATACCGTAAAACCCCTTATTATTTCTCTGGACTACAACGATTATACGTCGTCTGACAATTCGGAACAAAAAATTTAAAATGAAGTGTTATTGCAAACAGTCGATTTTTGTAAATAACAATATTTATTACAATTTATATATTTTCATATTATTCATATTTCTATATAAGTTTTTATTTGCTTGATGTTAAACTAATTAACTTCTCTATTATCTACTCATCTCCATAATTATAATTGTGTATATCTATTATTATATTAATTATTCTAATAAATACAATTATTATTATTATTATTAAATAGACACAGCCTTTTCTAAATCAAATTTTTTTTCTCTTTCCAAATGCGCAAAATATTTTGTCCCTTTAAAATTATCCTAAACCGCGAAATTTCTCCGACGCCGCCATTAAGAAAATTAAAAGGGTTTTCATCTTGCGTCGTTTTTTTTGTCCAAAGAAACATCAGCCACCGTAACGGGGGGGGGGGGGATACATCGGGGTTGATTGAATTGATGAGAAATATACATAGTGCAAATCATAGAACCGACGGTATATTGGAAATAAGGTGTCTGACATTGATGGATTGCCTTGGTAGCGAAAACGGGGGCTCGAGTGAGTCATCCAACCCTGAGAGCGACGCTTTTTATCCCTCTTCGGGTGCTGTACGCATCAGCTGATCGTTGATAAGCCGGGTAGAGGCGGTAGTGGGGAATATTCTTATTTACATGAAGATATATTTTTAAGTTTTAGGTCTCGTTTCAAACGTGTTCCTTCTTATTGGTAGTCCTGTTTTGGTGTTTAATAAATACTTGGTTTATCAATCAAATAAACAATACCAAATCGTCTTTAATAATAAAACTCACGGCAAAAGCTAAATTCGCATATATTCGAGTCAAAATGCTAAATCATAGGTTGCTAGTCGTACTGTACATCGTACAGAATCATTACACTCATTTTAAAAATATTTACATATAACAACGACCTATCTACCGGATCAATAGTCTTTCTAAAATTACAACATATACATGCTACATACATTGCACCAAATGAGTTTTATACACAGAAGGCGTCGTCGTTTAGAGAACCAAAATGGAAAATAAAGGTGGTCTGTTTATATTTAATCTAACTTAGCTTCGAATCCTGAATCAAAATAGGCCCAAGTATTTAGTTCAGTAAACTAGAGAGCTTTCTTTCACAACAAAAACGTCTCGTAATCATCTGGTACATTTAATTTGGAAAGAGTACCAAAAGAGCACCCCCTACTTACATCACGAGGTGCAAATTTCGAATTATCTAGTCAGTGAACAGCAACCAAAACACGTCGAGGCATGACAATAAATAATACCACAACAGAAGTGTTTATCGTTGTATTCGAGTAGTTAAATAAGACGAAGGTTTCAGCCAGGGGTGCATGTTTTGGTACAATCTTTCCGCGTCGTAATCAATATTATATAACATTTATACAATACTTTCTGGCGAAATGTTTCTTTGCAATATTGGTAGGTATAATATGTAATTGATTGTAGTAACGATTGTTAATATCAATTAACGTTATGTTTGAGATTGTCTAATGAAAATGTATTATAACGTGAAAGGTTCTACGAAAACCGTGAAAAGTACTGTACGTAACAATAATAACATTAAATGTAAAAAAAGACATTAGTTTTTAACGAGATATAACTCAATAATAAAAGCAAAATTTAACAACGAAATAATTAACAATGAAGGATTAATCGCAAATTTGTTTCCAATATCGACATTGAATTTCAGTGCTATTTTTATGTTATTAATACATAGTTAAAAAATGTTATGATTCTGGATGATCACGGATGTTGTTATCTCCCAAATTATTACAAAGTTTTGAATATTAAAAAATTCAAGCTTGTCCATCATTAGCAAGCCTTTAAAACTGTAGTAACTGTACTACTTCCAGCTTGCCTGAAAAAGGTACCAATTTTTTCCGATTAGAATTTTGTTTATTTTAAAAATGATTAAATTAAGCACTCGTCATACTCAAAGAAAAAAGTGACTCAGCAAGATAAAGGAAACATATAAATGTAGTAAATTTGAGAAAGATAATTAATTCAAAATAAAAATCCGCCGATTTGAACAAAATTTCAAGTGGAATTTACGTAAAAGTAAAAAATAGGAGCTAACACCATCACACATCCAGCATAAAAAGTTTTATAGTTTTGCCGTATGCCATACACCGAATTTGCCATAACCGGCAACTGTGGGGTAACTTGCATTTACAAATCAGTATAACACAATTTATTGGTATTGGAAACAAATTGTCATTTGACAAATCGAAAATAATAACACACATTTTTCAACAAACTGCGTCAAAGTCTATTGCACTGAATCAAATTTGGTAGTATTCCGGCGTATAATCGTTTGCCAAATTACTCAAAAAGTTAAAGTCCGAGGAACTATTGCTAGTTTCGGCTGGAGGGGCCACTTGGTTACCTCCTGTTTCGTTCGAATAGAATTGGTGAAAGCTGTTGTAACTATCACCGTTATCAGCTGGTACGCTGGAAGGAGGTGTAATAATTCCTGCCGGGTGGGCGGTTCCTGTCGTGAACATCTCCGGCGTCATGCCGGGGTAAGCCGATTCACCATTAACGGGTAGCTGAGATGGATAGCTTTCATAGTATGCCATCTTGTTTGAATGTTGATATTCTTGACTCTGAGTTTGGGGCCCTTTTTGTATGTGATGAAGAGTATCGTTTGAGTAATAGTGGGTAGTATCCGGAACATTTGACATGTGATGCCCTGGTACCGAATCAACATTTTCGTTTCCGTATACGTTAGTACCAGCAGCTCCATATCCATAGTGACCATACGCATTATGTTCACCATGATATCCTTGATTATAGTTATTGTGTGCTGACAATGGATAATTGTCGGCACCATGGGCCTTATTGTAAGAAAAATATTGATGCTGATTGTACCCCGTTTGATAATTTTGCCGAGAGTTTCTGCCAGATACTCTGGTGCTGATTTCTCTGGTAGGTGCTTGTTGTGGTAAATTGGCGTGGCCTTGAGCTCGAACGTATGGTTGACCGTCATTTACTGTAGGATGATCTGGATTATACATACCTGAAACAATCACTACAATTCATCTATATAATGTGGATACTTTACACTCACCATCAGAATACATCTGGTGGTGCATTTGGTAGTGCTTATTTCTCCCATCGCTGGTATTTCTGTACTCCATCTGGTTATTCGCGGGATACTGATTGGGATAGTGGGATCCATTAGAACCTCTAGTTGCAAAATGAGGTATTGAATTTACCGGAATATTCTGTATGGTTACCGTCGCCGATGCCACTGCAGTTGCAGTTGTTGGGGACGGTCGTTGAAGATGTGGAGGGTATAACATATTTGAAGGCAGTCCTAACAATCAATTAATTGAAACAACTTAACAAAACCCTAAATACTTGCTAACCTATCGTGCTAGTGTGTACTGTCGGCGTACTCGGCATCGATGAATTTTTGGGAGACATTTTTGTGGAATTATTGCTATCTTGCTGAGCAAGCGCCACAACGTTTTCTTGATGGCTAATCCCACTAGGAGACATTTTGCTTAAAGCTATTTTTCTATCACATGAATTTGGAGAATTTCTCTTACTTTCAACCTGCAATGGAAATTGGGAATATATTAATTGCATCTACCATAATTCTATGCTACCTTAACATTAGATGTATTCGGTCCGTTACTACTACCACTGCTTCTTTTTGCTACCCTTGGCCCGCCTCCACCCCCTCCACAATCCTCGTTTGAACGGGAATCTTCCTCTAACAGTTTGTCGAAGGACCCGGCACTTCCTACGCTGCTAGCACCCGTGGAGTTGCCGCTGCTAAACGCACCAGTGCTGTTGTTGTTGGTCGCACTAGGGGTGTTGTTATTGTTACCCCTTGTAGATGCTATATCCGGTATGTCTTCATGGGAAACACATAAACCTAAACACAATAAATTGTAGTTTAAAAAACACGTAACGGTATACATAGAATTGAGGAAAGGCTTTTAAATTTCTAGGGCATTGGTACGAGTTTTAAACTTCATTTGTTTAAAGATTGTCTCTATTTAGAAGAGCATCAGAGAGATTCGGCCTAACATTTAACTTTAGATTTTAAAATTGCGCTTGGGCCGCTAGCCTAGAAATTAGATTCATTCATTAAAGTACCAGAATCAACAACTTTTTCTCGGTACTCATATTATAATATCTAAATACTGGATATTTGTAGGGCTTGAGTTTAATCAGGATTATTCTAGCTACCCGACGTACGGTTGCTAAAATTCCACCTAGGAGACTGGGGACAAAATAAGTAACTGTTTTAACAAGGTTAATTATATATAAATCTTAAGGTTGCGAAAATAATTTAAACTTTGTGAAAATTTAAGATAAATAAAATATGGATAGTCATAAAATGTCAATTACATGGCTTGGGAATTTTGGAAATGTATTATATGTTCTTGTAATGTAATTACAGCGCTGTGTCGCACTCGTGGTATTATTTATTTATTATTTATCTATTTACAACCACCCACAGGATAATCCCCATTACACAGTGTAAAACACGAAAGGAAAATGGTATTTCAAGTAGACAAGACGCAATAAATTTTAAGAAAAAAGAAATTGACCAGCAAACTGTACCAATAGATAATTTTTGATAATTTGATAATTATAGAAGTTGTTGTTGGTTGCTATTATTTGCTATTATGTTGTGGTATTGCTTACTCAAAATGAAGAAAAAGGAGAGCGATATTGTTTTTGTTTCTTGAGTTTGTGGTTAAAGTCAAATTTAAAGTCGTGATAATTAATAGCAAAACAACATAAATTTGCGGCAAAGCCAACATTTCACAAATTAAATTAGGAATATGCACTTCGAATATCAACGGTAAAGAAAATACTTTTATAAAACATAACTTATTTAAAAAACTTAAATAAATAAAAAAGCTGCTTTGGAACTTTCGTCCCATTGAGATAACATAAGAATAACCTAACAAAGCTCTAAAGATAAAAGTGCTGTATTTTAAAAACAATATTCAATGAGTTACTAAAATTGTAGAATATGGGATTCTGGTACAACAAATATAATAAAGCTATACATTGAAACATTTTCATTGCGACAGTAGATTCCATGGACAATTTCAAGGTACATAAGAATATGAAAACTAACCAGCAGATGGCATTTCGCAACCTTGACAACTTTTCTTCGACATTTCGTCATCCAAGAATTTGTCAGAAAGTTTGGCGCTTTTTCCACCTTCGCTCGTTACTGAATCTTTGTCATCTCCGTCTTCTCCTTGCTTACCAAGCGTTTGACGTTTGTGTTTCATTCTCCGATTTTGGAACCATACTTTAACCTAAACCAAAGAACAAAGCATTTTTAAATCTCAAATAATTTTTCAAAAAGAACATTATTTTGATGGTCCAAAAAAGTTGCATTTTAAGAATAAAATTTCTCAATTAAGGAAAAAAACTCTTAAGTAAAGGTAAACCGACACGAAGGAAATTAAGTTTTCCTTTTTCGTATCTACCTACTCAATTTAATTAGAATCGGGGTCTTTTTGTTCCAATTAGGCAAATGCCTGCAAGAGAATTTCCAATTATTTCCAGTTTAAGCAAAACCCACTTAATATCTTGGACGGACATTGGTTCGTCTTTAATGAATATACCGCCCTGATTAATGGTTAAATTTAAAAGCATTAGAATCATACGTAACGAGTAAATTTTTTGTTTCCTTTTGCGTTTCGATATACTAGTATACATACAGCGTAATTAAAGTCGGTAAAGGAAGGAGAATGATATAAGTAGAAGTTCAAAATAACAGGTGACTAAAGTGTTGTTTATCAAACTTCTATAATATGCTATTATTCTGTATGATTGCTTGAAGTTATTAATTTGAAAACCTTATAAAGGGACATAAGTACAGCGAGTTATTAACAAATTTTGTGTAGGATCTGAACTTCTAATACATATTATAAATATTATCTTTGACACTAAATATTTTATAATGGAAACCCGCTGCACTCGCTATACATGTTTCAGTAATAATAAAATTATAAACAAATAAAATGGTATTTGGTGCATTATTTATTACCTGTCGTTCCGTTAAATCCAAAGATGCTGCAATTTCTATCCTCCGAGGTCGGCAAAGGTACTTATTGAAATGAAACTCTTTTTCTAACTCTAAAAGTTGGGTATTGGTGTAAGCCGTTCGGAGCCTCCTTGGGAGTCCATTCTCTGAAAAAGAAAAATATTAATAACATAAAATTAAATAAATAACAATAAAGTTGTAGATACAAAAGACACCATGTGGCGTATTCATTATTTCTGTTTTATTTTATACATTATACGGAAGGCGAAACAGACCAAAGCTAAAAATTCCTTTCCAAAAATGATGTGACTAATAAAATCGTATATCATTAAAAAAAATTTTTACTCACCCAATTTTTTCATTTGAAAACAAGCAATAAATAAAAATAGCGATTATACGCATAGTGCACGACAGACAATCTATTGAATTTTGTGCTTGTGTTTGCCCACACAGCTGCGTTTTTCTGGATATTTTAGTTTTTTTATTGTATGTATTTTTTATATATTTTGTGAATTACAAATACTTAACGCTGTTGCTATACCACCCAACGAAAAGTGTGGTGTGAATTTCTGAAACATTTTCGGTGTCTCTGTCAAAGTTTTCCACACAAATTTTTCCATTTCTGATGCATAGTTTATAATTTTGCTGAGATTGGTAAATTTTCATAATTTTAAATACGTACTATGATAAATAAGCATAACCAGATATACACTAAAATACAAAAATTGAAAAATAAAATGAAGCATTTTTTTGTTAACATTATACATTTTTTCTATTAGCTTAACAAATTATAGTCAACGCAAAGGTGAAAAACAGGGTGACAAACATATTGGTCACCTTCTCTTTGTCAATAATTAAGCAGGTTTGTTCTTTTACTGTTTATAGTTACTTGTTTACGAAAAATTCGATTTTCATATATACGCGTTTGACTCTCGGCAACGGTAGGTCCTAGGGGACCCCCATTAGTACAGACATGATCAGCGTGGAATTTTTTTTTTTGTTATTTTGTATATCCGCTCTCTGTTTCTCTGTAGACGTGGCATTAATTGGCCATAACTTTCGAGCGGTCTAACTTGAAACTTGGAAAGCAAATACTGTTTGAATCCTTGACGAAACCTATTGGGTGTCTGGAGAGTAGGGAAGTATTTAAAAAAAAATAAAAATCACGTTTGCGAAGGTGTAAGAAGAAAATTATATCTCGAAAATTGCTTGCGAAATCGTAAAAATTTTTGGACGAGTAGATGCAAAATAATTTTTCGCAAAAACCGAAAAATATGTCCTATTATTATGCAGGGTGTTAAGGATATTCTGTGAAATATTCAAAAAAGTCATAAATGTTCCAAGTGGGCAGCTATCGACTTCAAATTTGGCAGGAAAGTAGTACCTACATCTAAAACGTAAAAATTGGGCAGATTCAAATATCGCAAAGCATTTTTCAAAAAATTATGAAATTGTTTTTTGGGTTATTTTGGTTACCAGAAAGAAATTATTTTCTCGAAAACTGGTAACCCAATTAGCAAAATTTGTGAACCAGGAAACGCAGGAGATCCGAGACCAAAACTTTCATTATAAACATTGTTCCGATTATATACAGAGATTTGCAATAAAATGTGAGGTGAACTATTGGAAAAATAAATAAATGTTGACATTGGTTTTGTATATTTTCAGATACTGTAAAGTTGAATTCAAAATAACTTTCAATAGAACACTTAATGGGAATTAAATATTTAGAAATCTAATTTTAAATGGCTCTCGTTTGTTAGTTATTTTGTCAGGGACGAAACAGGATCTACTCTTTATTAATAAAAAATGTTATTTCTCCCTTAAAACATTTCTATTGTTTTGTTTTCTGACTTTTTCCACGTTTCCCCAGTATTTTTTTTCTTGCCCAACTTGTTGCTTCCTTCGCGGGGTAAGCAATCTTTTGCTAGTTTGGTATCGAGTGCGTTGTTTCTTTTTATCATTTTGTAACATCATTGTTACGAAAAGTTACAACGTCCGAAGTATACAAATTTATTAAAGCACTATTTCCCTTATCCCATGCGCATTTTTGTTTTTTATTTACCATAACGAACGAAAACAAATTATATCTGTCCAAATCTACAATTTCATGCTGTTTGATTGTTTTGACCATAACAAAAAAGTTTTCCATAAAGTATAATCATCCGCTCAATTGCGGCAAAAATTGTCGTCATTATTTTAATAACACCACATGACACCGACATTGGTTCAAAGGATGCCCAGCATTGTTTAAAAAAATTTATAAGCGACACAATAAAAATCGTGGAAGTTCCTGCGCGCTGTCTACAATATTGCTGTTGCCGTTGTTTTGCCCATAACTGGTATAATTTTATTCATTTTGCAACAATGGCGGATAAAAGACATTGTTTACAAAAGAATGCATTATGGGAATTCGGATGGGTGATTTTGCTCTCACAGCCTGACTTGCTTTGACAGTTTTGTTGAAAGCTGCTACTCGCTCGTTATAGGAGTCAATGATCCATGGTGGATGTTTTATTATGAAGTTGCGCATAATTGCTGCATTTTAATGTTGTGCTGCTAATTTCCCATTTACATACGTTTAGAGGTGATTTACAAATCCTAACAATATACTCTTGAAAAGTGGTTAACGAAACATTTGATTCAACATTTTGTGAATCTTAGGACTTGGTTTTTGTCTTCGTTGTGTCTACAAAAAAAATTGACAAATATTTATGAAAATCCAATGGTTTCATTGACTAATAATAATTTCTCTAATTTTTGTTACTTTGTCCGCTTGTAGTAAAAATGGATCAGTTTTATACAGTTTGCATTAAAAAAAGTCTTCTTCTAATTGATCTTATTAGAATCTATTTAATCCAGAGCGTCTTTCGATCTTTTTCTTGGCGACCACGTCTTCTCTTTCCTAAAGGGACATTGTCATGAAATTGCCTCACCAACTGATTTTCATTCATTCTCAATACTAGGACACTCCACACTGCCCTCTTTTTTGGACCCATTAACTAACTTTCTGAATCTTATAGTTTATTCTTAATTCTGTGCATGAATCTCTTACCTGCCCTGAATATTTGTATTGACCGAACCACGCTCTTATAGATGCGGATTTTTGTTTCTTTTGGCAGAAACATGTTTGACCAGACGGTATGGCTGAGACATTCAGATACAGCGGACGCCATAAAAGTTTGAAGTCTTGATGCTTATTATTTGGATGCCGAAGTAGTTCAAGAATGGCTTGTGTTGCAAAATGAGTAAATTTCGAGTTGTTATCTTTTTAGAATTTTAAGCCGCAATTTTTCACAGTGCAGTGCAAATTAATTTCGAATTTTCTAGATAATTTCTTATGTTTCTGCAACTAGAGGTGTTTTCATCTCGAATTGAGTATCCTTAGAGTTTTGGGAGGTGTTAAGTTATTTCGTTGTATATATTGTGAATTAGTTTAATTAGACCGCCTGGTATGCGATGGTCTCTAGTATTTTTAGGACGTACTTAAATCGAATTGTATCGAAAGCTTTTTGAATGTCAATAATGCAGAAGAACACAGGTTTAATTTACTACAAGGCTTTCTCTGTTAGTTGTCTTACAATAAATATAGCATCAGGGTAGGATCGGCCACTTTTAAAGCCTTGTTTAAGACTTATCATTTAGGTGCGTTTGTTTGCTCTAATGATCGTGGTAAGTTCTAGAGTAAGTTAATATCTCTGTAGTTTTCGGAGTTGCCCTTTATACTCTTTTTAAAAATAAAATGAAGTGTATTTCACAAGTTTAGAGTTTAGATTATAAATATTATTATAATATAATATATTATAAAAAATATTTCTTAGATTTAGGCCACTAAGCATTCCTCCGTATTTTGGTTTGTGTTTTTTATAATATGGGAGGTTAAGTTTGGTAAGTTTCCAGTCAACATTCAGTGACCACTGCACGCAAAAACCTTATGGAACCGAATATTAGTCACTAAGATCAACATGCTTTTACGATCTTATCAGTATTCGTCTCGTTCAAAAAAGAACATTTTTTTTTCCATTTTTAGAAGAAAAAGTGTCCAATGTTCAGATTCGGCAAGTTTTATTTTCAACTTGCGTAGTCTAATTTTTGAAAAAAATTGTTTAGATATTTATATGCTAAGTTTAAGGCACAGAAAGAATGACGTGTATGATAAAAAGACAAAAAGAGTACATATTTCATTAATCGGTTATTTTGTAGCCGACGACTTTCTTTCAATTTTTTACAACCTTTTGCATAGTGAATATGGCTAAATAAGTAAATGTTTTTTGTTTCATTAAGGAAATTGTGTTAAGAAAAGCTATGAGCTGATAAACACTTCTTTATTTATTGATTTACAAGTTTTGAACTAACTGTGTTTATCAAATTTGTGCTATAATATGCTATTATATATTTCTATACTATATATATTAATTGCTCTATTCTACGGTTCTATAATTCATTGCTTTAAAAGATAGATTCCTGTCACGAATTCATAAAATAACGCCGAGGATAATGTTTTTCGTTGTATTTAAATTGCAGCTACTTTCGCGATGGTAAATCACATGTTTTTAAAAAAATCTGGAAAACTGTCAAATCAATTTTGCATCTTTTTGAAAGTAAGATATCATTAATAATTTATTATATGCATTATTTCATTCAAGTTCGTTTACGTTTTAATCAAAACCCGTATTTCGAATATTCATATTCATCAATTCACATGGCATTTCTAAAATTAAATATTAAAAAATCTAAAAGTTTATCAAAATAATTAAAACGATCGCGTAACTCACTGGCTGATTAGGAAGTACGCAGGACGAGAGTAAGAATACACCCCCTAAAATCCTCAAACACTCTCAAAACTTTAAAATGATCCGAATCTGTTTTAATTTAATAAATTCTGATGCGTCGAGAGCGGGAGACGTCGCATCGTCGACACTTGCTGAAGGCTGAAGGGAAACTTATCCTGCCGAACACAGAGAGATAGAACGATATTAAATTTCACCTGGTGACAGATGGCGATGTAGTTTATCACTCACAAATAGGAAACACGTCAAACTTTATTAATAATTTAACCAAGTGTTTTATTCATGATTCTTTTACTACTCGTTCAGATGCTTCTAGAGTTGGGAAAAGGCACAGAAATACTTAGGAGACCGGAGGT